GAATGTGTGGTCTGTGTACATGCTGAAGGAGTCTAAAGTCTGAATAGCGGAAAACTTCAGGCACACCAATGTTTTGTGGAAAATCCATCCTGGGTGTGTAGCTGTCTAAATGACCATTAAGTTGTCAGATAAGTCTGAGTCTGAACATCCATTTGCAACGTTTTGATATTAACTCCACTTTACTTAGCTCTGAATACAACCCCCTGCTGCAGCTGACACCTCTGCATTGAAATTGAAATGCATTTGAACTTCTAATGGACTTTAAGTTACTCACCAGGCCATCACAGGTGCTTATGGCTGCGCTCCCTTTAACAGTGTCCTGATCCCACACATCACCTAAGAAATGGCACCGGAAGGATCCGGTGGATGGATGGATCTGGGCCCCTTCGAGGCCACCATACCTCCTCTCCGTCAGGAAGCCCGGAGCCAGCAGGTGTGGGTTGAGGGTGAGGTTAAAGTGCAAGCTGTAGCCGCCATGCCTAAACTGGTAGAAGACTCGATCCAAGTTCACCGGTCCCTCTGAGGCTTCCCTGCGCTGTACACGGCGAGCATGGTGAGACAGGAAGTTGGACAGGAAGTGACCTCTGGCATCCACTCTAATGGGGTGAACCACTTCATACTGAGGCAGATTCTGCAGAAATCTCTCTGTCAAAGTCATGGGAAGAGAAGATGTAAGAGATGGGCTATTAAATCACGTCATCATCATTTCCTGTGATGCGAAATAGCTGAATCAGCAGCATGAAAGGAAGTGTGAGAAAGGGTAAAGAAAATGAGCCTAAAGAGGAGGGATTACCAGCAGCCTCCGCTTCTCAGTTCTATACATACTGATGGAAACACTATCACTAAAGACTGTACATCTTCAGTTTATTGTTCAGTGGAGATTGAATATTGCTCAACATATCTTCTTAATCTTTGTCACACTGAAAAATCGATGTATATGTCAAGTATGTACTTCCCACACACACACACATAGGAAAAGGTTTGAGGTGTAGCTTGACAATCAAACGTGAAATACCTGACAAATGAATTTCAGAAGTCTTTCTGATGTTTTTATACGATTGCAACCAGATTTTTATTCTCAAACAGGGGAAACCAAAGGACTAATATCACTGGAATTACTGTGGCCAAAGAAATCTTGGAGCGACACCACTTTTGTGGATACATGGAGTGCCTACTGTATATGAACAATCACAATCATTCGAGACCTTTTTCCATTTAAATTCTCTTTTTGAACCATGTGTAGTACCCAAATACCTAAACAAAGGTTGGTGTCACTTCACACCCAACATAAAGATGTATTCAACATGCATAATCAATTCATTGCACTTGAAAATGGTGTTTTACGGTTGATTTCTACAGGAGCAGATAACAGCCATGCTTACAATGGTTTCTTTTATCTCAAGATCACAAGTTAATTATTTCGATATCTTGAGAAAACAAGCTTTCTTGTCTGGAGATAACCACCTACTATCATGGGAAAACACAAGTTTGTTTCCTTTTAATACTTTTATATTCTTATTTCTACTATTATTCTCTGTTTATCAGAGATTGGGAGTGCCATGCATAGCGTTAAATGTCGTATTATAGATGTGGCACTGATTAACCATGATAGCATGATGCATGAATGCCAGTTAATATTCATTTTCAGACTGACCAAAGTCTCAATCTTCTCCTGATATATGTTGTCAGTACTGTATCACATTACCAGAAAGTTAATAGCTTAAAAGGTCCAGTGTGTAACATTTAGGAGGATCTATTGGCAGAATTTAAATATAATATTCATAGATATGTTTTCATTAGTGATTAATTACCTGAAAATAGGAATCGTTATGTTTTCATTACCTTACAATGAGCTGTCACCTTTCTTGGAGGCCGCCATGTTGAATGAACGGAATAACCGAACACTGGCTGTGGATCGGGACATTCACATTTTTCAAAAATTTCAACATAGTGTCTCCTACACAGATCACAGCCCATTCTCATTCCCAAGTCGTCAGATACAGATGCCAGCGGTTTTCAGTTAACTGCAATCTGAAACATCACCGCTAGATGCCACTAAATCCTTGCAAGCACAGCTGTTCTCGGCTTCCATTTTCCGTGTGAATTTTCAGATATTTTTGCGAGGGAGGTGTCCTATCATCAGTTTACTTTCTAATGTGGTAAGAATTTATCGAAATACAGGGAGTGACTTAGAAAGGGTGTATGTCGGTTGGACATAAAAAGTAATTGCTTCAACAAACCACTGAAACCTGTAAGTTTTATAAGAAGATAGCAGCAAAAGAAGGCAACACAACTAACCTTTTTCACCATGCTGAGTACAAAGAGCTGCTAGAAATAATGACAGGAGAGGCAAACAGCTTACTTAAAGTCTAAACAACCAATCAAACTACCATCTATCTAATAAATTATATAATAAAGTAATTTTCTGTGAACACATCATACTAATAACTGGTGGCACAACAACATTTGTTTCATATTAATGTCTCATTTATTCTGTACAACTCACAGCACAAATAAGACCCTTGTTGCATCAAAATATCCAGACAACCTTTGCCTGTAAATAATCTTTCAAGGACTCACTCCTAAACCTTCATTAGTGCTATCGTTAGCGTAATCTCATTCTAGAGAAATGAGTAGAATGCAAATAACGATTTCTTTCAGCAATGCAAAAATGTTATCTGTGCAAATATTTCCAAGAACACATCAGTGTGTGCAGTAAGCTCTGAGGAAGGTGTCTTTGGCAACCGGCTGCTTGGAATGTCTCACTGAACGATGTTTTAAAACGTTTTACCTTCTGTAAGTGTTTTCCAAGAATGCACTGGAATTTTAACACTAAGGTCACTTAAAGTGCTTTTTACTCCTGAGTGCTTTCAGTATACCAACTTCTGTAAACTCTGATGGAATTTAATTATAGATAAGGCTACAGCAAAAACTAAATAGATGGAAAAAGCGTTCATGAATCTGAATCACTATCTATTTATACAGTTGCATCATCAGGCGTAGAAATCATGACTGCCATTAGTCAGTCAGCATAACTGTCTTTCATTATGTGTATTTTGATGAAGATCTGGTTCCAGATGGAGATTCAAAACATCTAAATATTAACTGAATAACAATTCAGAGGGTTATGCGGTGATGAGCGCTTTCTAATTCCATATGTGATGATTCTTTTCATTGAAGGCATTTCATAACACATGAAGGATGTTCTCCATCTGTAATAATTCCAAGTAGCATCTTAATTAATAAACACAAGACATTAATTTCAAATTGAAGACTTCGTTACAGCTTTTAATCAAGCAGCTGTGCAGTGTTCTTGGCCGAATGAAAAGGAATGTGAAATTTAATTTAAAATGGTTCATGTGCAACCACGGTCAGCAGAAACTGTAGTATTTGCAGAAATAAGACACTGTGAAGAAAACACAGAGTTGCATTAGTAGCTAGGGCTTAAGAATCAATGTAGCAACTAGGACAACCAGCGGTTGTCAAGTGGACTCAACACTGATGAGCCTCCTTTTGACTCTAAATCCAAATTAGCTAATTACATTGGTGTTAGGATGTCTGGTTCCTCGCCCCACTTTTACTTGTGTAACTGACAATAGTTATGCATTTCCGTACCAAGTGAGAATAAGAGACCTCTGATGTCTGATCAAGAGGAAGCGCGTGCCAGTGCTTTTCTATTTTGGGTTCTTAGACTTAACCATCGGGATTCCTGTGACAACATTTATTACCTGAAATCGTAACTGTTCGGGATGTGCCTCCCCTCAGACACATCCTTGTCTATAATGCCTGACAGCACTCAAGGACTCCCAGCTGATTTATACAGGATGAGACAGAGTGCATCCAGACTCCTTGTTCGGTCTGTAATCTCAGGAGAGCATTGATTTTTAACATCCAAACCACAAAGTAAAGGGAAGCCTGAGAGGTTGAAAGCGCAGGGAGTGGAGAGAGGCGGCTGAGTGGATCCTACAGGGGAGGATTCATTCTCCTATGTGACGATATCCACCTGACAATTCATACTTATTAACTAAGTACAGTGGAAACCAGCTCTGTTAAGACAATAGAGAAAATGCATCCTGTGGAAGAGAAATTCCGTTTCCTGACCTTCACTGGTGAGGTCAGAGGTCAGAGTCAGCAGCTCTGGGATTCTGTATTTTGGCTCAAGGGCAGGGCAGATGCTTGCCTGCATGGGGCTTGAAACCTCTGATGATTCAGTGGAAAGAAGGTTTCCCCCAACTACCAGACTAAGCTGCAAAAACTTTGGACTTAATTGCTACGGTCAGCCCAAAACACTGTAAACATAAGTCACAGCTGGCCTCCCCTTCCACGGTGAGGACTGCTGGCCTGGCTCTGCAGTTCCTGAGCTGAATCAGATGCGCTCTGAAAACAAATGTGCACAACAAAAAGCAGCCCACAGCACCAGAGGACGTGGCGTGGTCATGTATCCACGAATTCCACCAATTTTAAATGTTTTGGAGGGTTTTTTTCGACTGACCTGGTTCATGTGATAATCCCAACGTCCTGCAGTTTTCCAGGATCATCAGAAGTGCGATGCAGAAGTGAATGGGGGAGAGTCCTTGTCCAAAGGCGTGACGCCCGCAGTCCAAACGGGTCATGTTGTCAGGACGGTAGCCTGTGTTTTAGAAGCATTTAATGCCTTTCTTACACCGCGTCGACTGTCAATTCAAATGATTTCCATCTGGGCTTTGTTGCGACCATGCACTTAAACTGTGACAGCCCCAACAAACTTTTCCAATTTAGGCCTGAACATCGTCTGCCTCCACGGGGCGTTTTTGTTGCATTCTCAGTCTTATTGGCTTGTTTGTATGTCGGTGTTAACGTTTGCTTACGAGTCTCTGTCCCCTCCGTCCTCCATCTGTCTCCTACCGACAGCCAGTGACAGCTTAAAAACTTCTTCGGCAAACTTTCGCAGAGCCACCCCCACAGATGGGTGGACTTAAGACAATGGGCTATCTTTCAGTGGGACTGGAGGCTTAAAGGGGAATGCTACTCCAAGAAACTGGATATAGTGCTTCAATCCAAGTGGCAGTTCCTCCCAAAACGGAGGTCTTTCGGGTTCAGTGGGTCAGTTGAGGACCGGTTTCGGTATTGTTGCATTCACTTGGAGTCAGAGAAATGAGTGTCAGGGGCTGTACATTGTCACCTCCCCCCGTGTACTTTAACAATAAACAGACTTCTCTGGTGGACACTCTGGGACTAAACCTCCATAAAGCGGAGAAGGAAAGTGGTTGAAAGGTGAATTCAGTGAGATTCCTGATGAGAAACCCTTTTAGAAACCTCACCTACATGCATGTAAACACAGTGTGTTAGTGCTTTTTAACTGCTGTTAGAGGAAATGCCTTAAAGGGGTTTTCATACTAATGAGAAAACTAAAACAAGGGGAATAAAGTTCATATTAAAAAATCCACATGGTCACTAAAGTCTACATCATTGTTTTACTTTAGTCTCCATCTGCCTGAGCTTAGCGCGCCCTCTAGCGGATGAATGGAGGCGCTGTGGAAGACACTGAGTCAGGGATAATGCTGCTGTGTAAGAGGCTGTGTATCACCTTTGATATGTTAGAATACTCCTGGATTTATTATAGAAAGTTCAAGCACTTTAAAGGAGCACTGGCATTGACGCACACTGATCTTAGTGATGATGTTTGCAAAGATGAAAGTTTAACTTGAGTGCAAAACTAGATCTGCAATGACCTGTAAAAACCTTTGAAATATCTTAATTTCAACTTTGAAAGGTTTGGGTTTGTGCCAGTTGAGTTGGAGCCTTTTATGCTAAACGCTTGAGGTTTTGATTTCTGTATTTCATTTGATTTTTCTTGATTAAAAACAAGTTTATTTACTCCATCTGACGCATTTTACGCACGTTCCATGGGAGAGCTGCATCCCGTCACAGACCTATAATGAGCTGACATGGTGTGAAAGATGCATATAAATTCAGACCAGCATGCTTTAGGCTCATTTCTGTGTCTGGGACTGTCACGTCTCAATCGACCAATCGTGGCTCAGCAGAGGAGCGACACACCTGTATAAAAGCAGACTCCGATTCATTGATGCGGGATAAAGAGCTGAGACACTTTCGCATGGGGAGTCTCTGTTGTGTTTAAGTCTAGTTTGTGCGCGCAGTAGAAAGCCTGGTGTGAGCGCAGGTTCTTGACTTTTAAAGATGGATGAAATATTCAACCACAGCGGAGCGCTCAATCGAAGTTCGCCTGGCGATGAGAAATTCAGTTTCGAAGACATCGACGTGAGCGCGGACTGCACCTTCATCCTGAGGATACTCATCTCCGTGGTGTACTCCGTAGTTTGCGCAATGGGTTTGGTGGGGAATCTGCTCGTTTTCTTCCTCATGAGGTTACGACAAGGTCGAAAGAGGTCCACCATTAATTTTTTCATCATCAACTTGGCGGTGACAGACTTCCAGTTCGTGCTCACTCTGCCCTTCTGGGCTGTGGACACCGCGCTGGACTTCAGCTGGCCGTTTGGAGACGCCATGTGTAAAATCATCCTCTCGGTCACCGTGATGAACATGTACGCCAGCGTGTTTTTTCTCACTGCCATGAGTGTGACCCGCTACCTGTCTGTCGCGTCGGCCCTAAAGAAAAAGGCTTACAGGAGGTCACGGTGTGTGAAGTGGGTGTGCGCGGTGCTGTGGGTGGCGGCAACGGTGGCAACAGCTCCGACAACTATCTTCTCCACCGTGACTGTGGTCGCTGGAGAAAAACTCTGCCTCCTTAAGTTTCCTGAAGGGCACGACTGGCTCGCCCTCTATCACATCCAGAAAATACTGATAGCGTTTGTCATCCCGATGCTCATAGTGTCTGCTAATTACCTGATGCTCCTGCGCTTCGTCAGGCGGAGGAGCATGGACAGCAGCAACCCGAAACGAAGATCTAGAGTCACCAAATCAGTCGCTATCGTGGTTTTGTCTTTCTTCTGCTGCTGGATGCCAAATCACGCCATCACCTTTTGGGGTGTCTTGGTCAAATTTAACGCAGTCAACTGGGATAAATCATATTACATGGTGCACACGTACGTGTTCCCGGTTACTGTGTGCTTGGCGCACGCAAACAGCTGCTTGAATCCGGTGCTTTACTGCCTGATGAGGCCAGAGATCAGGAAGATGCTCAGCGGTTTGTTTTGGAGAGTCTCCACTCCGTCCTCCAACAAGGGCTGCGCGACGCGCTCTTTTACGCACGGAGAAACGCAGGGAGTCGTGCCTCTCCAGATCATGGACAATGGAGAGTACACGCTGTCCATAATAGACCGGAAAGGCTTAACAAGCTCCAAAATTATCCCATACACCCGATAACACTCGTCTGGGGAAAAACAGACCCCATGCAGCTGTTGTTTTTTGTTGTTTTTCCCTCTGGTTGTCCACCTGTAGCTGCCATTTCTCATGCGTAATGCTTTTCGCTAGTGTCCCAAATTTGAACATTTTCAACGACACACGGTCGTATGTCAGCCATCAGGACATGGACTATGTATGACAAGTGTGTTGTGGCGTTGACTTTATCTTCATTCTTAAAAACTGTCACAAGAATACCTGATGATCTCACTGAGGAACGAGTCGACGTGCATTGAATTTCGCTTTCCCTTCTCGCCTTTAAAAAGTGGCGGCACGTAGCTTTTCTTGGCGTCTGTTGTAGATAATTTTTATATTATAGATATTTTTTACTTCATTTGACAGCGAGGATGGATAAGAAACACGGAGGAAAGAGAGACTGGGACCCACGGACCCCGATCTTAGACAGAGGACTCTCAGCAAAACGTTGGATTGTATTATGTAAAACGACCTATAATTGATATGGAGATTAAAACAGAATCACACGATTGTAATGTTTTCTGAACATCTTGTAAAGCCTTCTGTAAATCTGTAAATGAGGTCGTAAGTGGATGATTTCTTTCCCTTCAGCCAGGTGCATTTATTGTGATTCACTGCTTCATTTCAAAAATCAATCCAATCACAATGTTAACTTCACAGAGCATCTTCAGTTTTGTGTAATTTCTCTAAGAAAAGGGATTGACATTCTGTATTATTTTGTGTACATAGAAATATAATATCCAAAGCTGTGTGCTACCGACACTGTATGTACAAAAAAAAGGGTATATTGTATATTTTATTGTATATTTGCAGTTTTTACACTGGAGGTTTCTCTCACATCATTAAAAAACACAAACATGGCCACAACCTTCTGGTAATGTACATAAATATATGGCTTATTCATATCATATTGAATATCTAATTACAGTTCTGAGCATGCTTTATTACTCTCCCACTTTCTGCTCCTGGATCAGGGTCCTGAATGCTTATCCAAATAGTACAAGAGTACTAAACAGGGCTTTCTGTTGTCTCCACTCTAGTTTATTGCCATAGAACCATAGCCATGCAATTAGAAAAAGAGGCTGACATAAACAGGGGTGGCCACACCCATAAAATTATCACTGAGTGCAGATGACCTTTTTTATTTGTTTCTCTGAACCTTGCCATGGACATCATATCTAAATTTGGCCAATATCATAAATCAATAAATCTGTCCAAAAGCTCAATATTTCTAATAAATGACCATAGTTAGATTTTGATTGGTTCCTTTAAAGTAGCCAGAGACTAATTATATATTATATAGTTTCAGTAAATATAATGGTCTGTTCAAATATAAGGCCATATGTTGCCAGTGTTAGAGAAAATCAATGGTCACTGATTAGAACAAAGCAGGGAATTGGTGCTGCCAAATTTTCTGCATTACACACTGGGCTTCCAACATTCACAGAGTTATCTACTGCATATCAAATTTCTATCAGAGCACTGGACAATTATCGGCTTGAGATGGGACAGTTTGCTTGTAATCAAGTGTCCTTTGCGCACCTCACAGTAAAAATAAAGCCAGACAGTCAACCTCATTGTGAATGGCTTTGAAAATATGGTCACAGTTTAAACAGGTGCTCACTTTGTTACCTATTGTGTCCAATGGGCTATTTCCATCTTCATTAGCAGACTCTGCTTTCCAGTTATAGTTCGGGAAGGGGCACCGCTGTATAAGAGATCTTGTTCAAAGCAATGACTGTATTTCTTTTGAGCACATTGTCAGAGATAGAACAATACATATTTAAATCTTATTTCTTCAGGTATTTACAAGTGTGTAGTCTAGACAAAAATTATTTTGTTTCCTTCCCATCTTCCCCAGTTGGTTTGGTTAGATTGAGATCTGGAACATGCTCTGATATCTATTGTACAGTGCAATTCAAAGGGACCATCTCAGGGAACAATAGGGTAAAGACTTTGGAGCTGACATTTCAGATGAAGTTTGGCAGTTTTCTTTGTAAGACATGTTATTACAATATGAGATAATCCACAGACTTTGAATAAGACACAAAAATCAAACCTGATGTTCCCAGGAACCAACTTGGTCCATCTGCTATCAAGACAAAGTCAGCAATTCAATTCAGTTTTTTTTTTAAAGTGCTAAATCACGACAGGAGTTATCTCATGACACAGAGCAGGTCAAGACAGTACTCCTTATAAAATTATTCACAGACCCAACAGTTCCCACCATGAGCAAGCACTTGGCAACAGAGACATGGAAAAACCTCCTTAGAAGAGGCAGAAACCTCTAAATATCAACCAGACCCTACAAAAGTCTCACTGGTCAGGCTGATGCATGTTTTCCTCCCTTCTAGTATGAATGCTGATACTATTACTTTCGCACACACCCAAACTCTACAATCATACAAGGATAAAGATTTAAAAATGTATTCATATTCATATTTACATTTTTATTTGTTTCATTTATATATTTGTTTGCAGTGTTGTACAGTTGTGTGATGTTTGACATGTTGAAAATTTCAATAAAAAGATTTAAAAAATAAGTTTAGAAACAAATCAGTTTGTCATCCTGTCAAACAGAGCAGGTACGTTTCTAAAAGTTGATTTTTACTTTTGGCTTTCAACGTTTAAAAAAACATTTCTCTTTGAGAAGAGTCATGCACGCATTGCTGAGTTTGACACTTGAGCAGTGCACAAAGAGGGAAAATGTGGTACACGTACAGATGCAGGCAGTTAGTGATTCAGATAAGAAGTTCTATACAGCACTGTGCATTCATGCAGTGTTGGGCGTACTGCAGCTCCAGATTCCTTTTCATCATGTTCAGCATGTGGTGCTATTACAGTAAAGCTGAATGCGTATGGGGGGGCAGCTGTCACCTGGCATACTGCAGGGGCACATCCTGCTCATTTGAGTGAGCAAACCAAATGCTGGAGAGCCCCAAGCTGAGGGAGTCTCCGGGCCAGGTTTGTTTGCTAATGAGTGTCTGTCCATGTCCCTCTTCCATGTTCCTCCTTGTGCCCTGAGGCCTTTTTGTTCCATGTGGCCTGTCCAGGATGCTGCAGGGATGGTGCACGGCGATGTCAAAGTGTCCAAACTGCAGACTTTACCTTAAAGCAACAGGTGTTTGCAATCTGAACTATGATTAATCCACATGGGTCTTCTATTGGTCTTCGTTTATTTATAAAACCCCAAGTCACAAATAATTGATTTCTCTCAAAGAGCTTCACAAACTGAACAGCATACGACACCCTTTAAGAAGAACACCCCCCTGGAAGAAACTTCAGGAAGAACAGCAGAGGAGGTTTCCCTCTTCCAGGACGGACAGTAGCAAGCACTCAGCATTGAATAATTGGCTCAATATCCGGAGCACTATTTCAATAAAGATGCATTATTTTAAGCAGAAATAAGGGGCGATTTAAATCATTATATATAGTTCCACATTTTTTATGGTGGCTTAAAGGTCCAATCACATTTTTGACCACAGTTATTACAGGTGAGTTAATAAAATATTCAAATATAATTAGGTTTTAGTCTAAATAAAGGTCTCACCAAATCAAAAAACACTACTAATATCAAAAATGTAATGCTATGTTTATGTCATGTGGGGTCATAAAACATAGCTTGTACCTTTAAGTTGCTCTGACAATATCCATGTCAAATGTTTTAACCTGACATGTGACTCAGTGATGTGTTTTTGATAAAAACATCTTCAGTTTTAGGAAAAATATATAAGATCATTATGACGTCTCCATGACATTTGGTGCCAGTTCAGAGTTCATGCCTGACTTCAGCTGTGAGATATAAATACTTCAAGTTATCATGGAAGGAAAGCCTGGTTGCTTTGGCAATGGATTTATTTGATGTATGTAGACCAAGAAGACTATCCTTATACTTAATAATATTTCAACAGTTGAAAGGTTTAAAGAGTGTACACACATATATGTTATATTCCCACACATAACCTGCCACAGAACTTATAAAGTCTTGCTGTAGGGCATTTTGAATTTTCATTATTGCTCTTTTTCATTATTAAAAAGAAAAAAAAGTTCAAACTAATGAGCAAATGCAGGTAATCAAGCCGACAATCATTATCAATCAGTGTACCGCAGGCTTGTGTCCTGAATTACTCCATTCATTAATTCTAGAGGCGGTGGTTTGACAGTGGTCACTGAGCTGATTATGATTCAAACATTTGTATTTATCTTTAATGACATTCAGCACACATGTTTATGAATCCACAGTAAACAGAGCACAGTCATCAATCCATACTCTGTGGGATGTTTACAGAACCTTTTTTAGATTAAATTACCATGTTTTGTGTGCTTGGATTTATTGCTCATCCTTTAATTCTGTTTCTGTGGCTGCTTTTACTTTTTTTTCCTTTGCTGGATCTTATTACATTTCCAGCTGCAACAATCTAATTTCTCCCTCAGGGATCAATATGTTTTCACTGTAGCACTGTCGGTGGCAGATGGTTAGCATGTGTCAGCTGACTGAATCAAACCTGCCTTCACTTGGACAGCTTCACTAAACCACAGCGTCACATGGTAGCTTTGTTTGTTCATTAAATCTCTTTTAAACTCAGGGAACACCAAAAACCTCTTACCATAATTCTCATTTGCCTTTATATTAGATTTGTTATTGACAGTGCCGCAGCCCAAACAAAACCTGTAGGTTTAAAGAAACTTTGTTCGGCAGGCATGTGGCTGCACAGTCCTTTTTGTTGTTTGTGTTGCATTATGGTTTAAATGAGGACAGAACACATTTGACAACCGTGTCAGTTTAATGCTTTACTAAAACTGGCTTTAAAACACACATTATTTAAGTAAAGTTAGTATTTACTTACATATCTTACACTGAAGCTTTAAAATTGTGTTCTTTTCTGATGCTGCTGACTTTTTAGTATCAGCAACAATAATAAATCTATCTAATCTATAAAATAATTTATTATTTTTTATTCCAATCACAAATATTATTATCATCCACT